GTCATGAACATCCTGAATATGTGTTTAAATTGGACAAGGCACTGTACGGGTTGAATCAGGCTCCTCGAGCTTGGTATGAAAGACTGTCAAAGTTTCTCTTAGAAAATGGTTTCACAAGAGGAAGAATTGACAACACTTTATTTATGAAGAAACGAGGGAGGAACCTGCTCATCGTTCAAGTATATGTTGATGATATTATTTTTGGGGCAACAGCTGATTCACTGTGTGAAGAATTTGCAAAACTCATGGGAAGTGAGTTTGAGATGAGCATGATGGGTGAGTTGAATTTCTTCCTGGTCTTCAAGTGAAGCAGTCCACAAAGGGTACATTCATCTGCCAGCAGAAATACATCAAGGAGCTTCTGAAGAGGTTTGATATGGAAGCATCAAAAGTAATTGATACTCCCATTGCTACTGCCACTCGACTGGACATGGATGGATCTGGATCTCCTGTGAATCAAACCATGTATAGAGGGATTATTGGGTCTCTTCTCTACCTCACTGCCAACAGACCTAGTATTGTTTTCAGTGTGGGGCTATGTGCAAAGTTTCAGTCAAATCCCAAGGAATCTCATCTGAATGCTGCCAAAAGAGTTTTGAGATATTTTAAGGGAACAAAGGACCCGGTCCTGCTACCCTTCAGGTGATAATTTTAATCTTGTTGGGTATGCTGATGCTGATTATGCAGGTTATCTTGTGGACAGGAAAAGTACTTCTGGAATGGCTCACTTCCTAGGATCATGTCTCATCTCATGGGGCACAAGGAAGCAAAACTCAGTAGCTCTCTCAACAGCTGAAGCAGAATATGTTGCTGCAGCTTCCTGCTGTGCTCAGCTCTTATGGATCAAACAGCAGTTGGAAGATTTTGGTGTGTACACTGACTGTGTGCCTCTCCTATGTGACAACACCAGTGCACTCAACATGGCCAAGAACCCGGTTCAACACAAAACAACCAAGCACATTGATGTGACACATCATTTTCTGAGAGACAATGTGGAGAAAGGGCTTATCTGCATGAAGTTTTGCAGTACAGAAGACCAAATTGCAGATATCTTCACCAAAGCACTGAGCAGAGAACATTTTGACAGAAATAGGCTAGAGCTGGGGCTAATAAAGCCAAATTGAGAACCCGATTCCCATCAGTTGGCTATGAAAGTCACTTTTAGGTAACATTAGCTAGAGTGTTTTCCGGCCAAGTTTAACTCACTTCAATACCATTGCAGGTAGACACGCATGATGATTATAGAAGCTGTAGGTGCACTGCATGGATGGTAAAAGAGGATTGAAAATTTTCAAAGACAGGTCAAGAACCTGGTTCTTGTACCACAGGTTAGTAGTCTTGTGTATTCTCATACATATCTTAAAAAGATGCAAAAAATGATTTCCATGTCACCTACCTTTTCAGACCCTGCGTCTTTTCATTTCAAATCCCTTCATCTCCCTCTGAAACGTTGCAACTCCCCATACACTACCGCCGTTTCAGAATCGGTTTCTCTCTCTCTCCCTCATAATTATCTTGTCTCATTAAAACCCTCTCTTCTTTTTGAACGATAATACTTCTCTCTTTAGACTTTCTCCAAAACATTCTCAACTGTATATTTGCAATGGCTGAAAATCACCCGATAATCCCTTCTTTAGTTGAGAACACCCCAGAGAAAACTCTTGATTCTTCCGTCCCTGATGAACCCTCTGTCACCATTCCAGTCTCAACCACTGAAAACACCTCCCAACCAGATTTCCATATACCTTCTAGTTCTCATGCGACTCTCTCAGACCTCTCTCTCACCCCAAATGATGAGAACTCAGAAACCCCAAAATTCGATAATCCTTCATCTCTATCGACTGAGATTCTCACCGACCAAAGCAAGGGTGGAGAACAGGGTAAAATTCCACAGATTGTAGAGGTCTCAGGGGTTAGTGTTGATCAACCTTCAACTATTCATGCTCCTGAGTTTGTGGTAACCATGGAGTCTCTAGAGGAAGAGGTCGTCGCAAACATATTGGTCGTATCTGCAGATGGAATAGTGCATGAGGTAATCTCTGGTGTGCATAAATCTCAGAGGAATGAGACACAGGGGTCAGTGGAAGAAGGAGTTGTGGTGCTTTTTGAAAGCTCTGCACCAGCAGATACTACTGGGACTTCTCGTGAAGGACCTGATCCCTCTCCAGAGGAAAAAGATCAAGGATCCTCCCCCCAGGTCAGTTTTGCCCCTGCTCCCTCTCCACACTTTGCTGTTGAGCCCTTGGAAATCTTGGTTCCCGAGATGAGGTCAAGTGATGAGGAAGATCAAGATAATATTGCTCTGGATGCTTTTATTGTCAAGAGAAGGGCAATACTCACTCCTGAGTCTTCTACTAAGCGACCTACTACTAGGTTGCAAGCAAAACTTATGAGTCTGCTCTACAAAAGAGCAAAAGGAGCAGTAAGAAGAAAAAGAAGAGGCTGGTGAAAAATGGAGAAGTGGTATGTGACAAGGACATTCCTGTGGTGGAAGTTAATGAGGAAGCAACAGATGAAAGAAGTAGTGAGTGACCAGTCATTATCTAATGAGGATGTGGAAAAGGAAAATCGAATGTGAAGTCTGGAAAGAGAAAGGTGGAAACTGTGACGGAACCTGATTTGCTAAGAGAATGAAGGGTGAGAGTCTGTGTGCTACAGAACGATTGAGGCACCAAAAGGTCTTGTGGGGTCGCACTTTTGACCCAACAATTTCTGACATGGCCGGCATGAACAAGTAATAGAGATGGTCGAGTTTCAGAAGTGGGGGCATCTGTTCACAATGGATGCGCCCAAGGTCTATGAGGATGAGGTCCAAAGCTTCTATGCCACTTCTTTCCTGTTGACAATGACCATATTTGTGCTTTAGTTAATGGGTGGATATTGTGTCTGATGTTGCTCTGCTTGGGGATATTCTTAAAGTCCATGCTGATGGTAAGTCTTCTGTGAAGGATGTGTGTGGATCAAACTTCAAAAATGCTATTGTAAAGGAAGGTGCAAACCAGAAGGGGGAATGAGTTCACAAGAAAGCCTTGCTCCCTGTTTATCAGTTATTGTTCGAGAGGAGGTCTATTACTTCCAAATCTGACTTGTATCTGATGGAGGAACTGGATGGATTTACAGCGGTAAACCTGCCTGCCATCATGATTGAGCATATGCAGAAGGTGGCGACTTTCAAGGATGGAAACCATGGTCTTCCATATGGGTTTCTTCTTACGCACGTTTTTAAGTTCTTCAAAGTGATACTGGGACATTGCAAAGTAGGGACCAAGAAGCAGACCTTCTCTCAAACAACTTTGGAGGAATGTGAGTGTATCAAAAAGAATGGAGAGGTAGGCAGTACTTCGACAATCTCTCAGCTCATCAATGCTCAAAACAGTGCAACTGAGGAGATTCGAAAGTTGAAGGCAAGGAACGCTATCCTGGAAGCTCAGCAGGCCCAAGGGGCCCCAGGGTCAAATGAGGAGATAGCTCGTCTAACCAAAGAAAATGCTGATCTCAGGGCACAAGTAGAGAACCCAAAGAAGAAACTGCTCACCGAGCAAATGTCGGCGAATGCCCGAATAGATCTAGTTCTCAACACCCTTGTTGCAGCTTCCAAGCCCTCTCCTCCTAGTGTCCCCTAGGCAGCCCTTTCAGTGACCAGTTTCTGGATTTTCTGTTTTTGTTTTGATGACTATGACAGTTGTTTTTATTTCTTTTTGTGATGTGGATGGGATGCACCTGTATTGCTCCCGTTGAAAACAGTCCAATCTTTGCCTTTGCTGTATAGCAAAGGCATATATTTTATCAAAAACTATCTTCTTTTGCTATTTAATGCTTATGTTTCTCTATTTCTCTTTTCTATCATGTTGTGTGCACATATGTGGCATGAGTTAGCTAGGCTAGACTTCTTTATGCTGATTGCTTGCTTGTGTATTTTTAATGATGCCAAAAGGGGGAAGTATAATTGAACTGAAACATGGATCTGATTAAGGGGGAAGCATAGAGTCAGGGGGAACTTGTGAAGTTCCTGTTGCTTCATCTGGTTAATTTTGCTCTAAACGTGGGTTATCAATTTCTAAGTTTGTCATCATCAAAAAGGGAGAAATTGATGGGTTTCCAATGTCTTAGCTTTATGTTTTGATGATCTAACAAACTTACTGTCAAAGAACCAGATAAGGAACCTGAACACTTGGTACACATCGCAAATCAACGGACTCCGGCTAATGTGAACTGCTACAATTTCAGAAGATAGAGAATCACCACAGGGACCTGATACCCTTGTGTTTCCGTGACAGCAGTACAAAGTCAACTGTGTACAGCTGGAAAGTGACTGCCTGCACTGTACACAGAAACAGTGCAGCACAATTCTACAGTCACTTGTCCTTTGACTAACCAAGTGATTACATCATTCAAGTGATGTCATCCAAGTTGTATTAACTAGTGTATTACAACAAAACATCACTTGAACACTTGAGAATCAACATGAGCATTCAAGCACTCCAACCGTTCACAGATCAAGCATTCAATTCTCAAGTGCATCAAGAACAAAGTTTAACACTACTACGGACCAGTTCCTAAATCTAGTATCTTGTTGTCCTTAGTTGAGTTGTAACTTTGTAATTGTTCTTCATTGTAATTTCTAATTTGCTTATCTAGAAGCGTTGCTTAGTAACCCCTTGTAAAACCATAAACCCTTAGTGTTTGTGTCGTGATTAGAGTTAGTCATGAGTTGAAGTCTTTATAATAGGTGTATTGCAAAATGGCTTGTAACATGTGTATTACAAGTTAGCGAGGGATTAAGAGTTTTTCTAGATTGCATAGGTTGTAATTTAAAAATTGCTCCTAGTAAAGTTGAAATCCCACCAGTGTAGGTCGTGGTTTTTTATCCCCTTGAGCATGGATTTTTCCATGTAAAAACTCATTGTTTATTTACTTACTGTTTTATTAGCTTCTCATGGAAACTCACAGAGGACCTGGTGTGTATATAATTTGGTGGACTCATATAAACTATCATTATTTTTGTAAACCAATATTTTATTCCAAAGCCAAAAACCCTTGTACACTGGTTTCAAGTTTCAACCTTTTCTTCTTCGGCGATTGAACGGCGAAATTGCTTCTCTCAATTTTCTCCGGTGAAATTGTAGTTCTCGTCTCATGTTTACAAGTTAATTTTGCATCCTTTATTTGTCTGATTTGTTTTACTAATAAATTTTGAAGGGCAAGAAGGAAGAAATAAGATTTGGCCAAATATGGACATGAAGGAACCAAAGATGGATTTTAAGTCGATCCTGAAGGAGGTCGAATATCTGGGTAAGTAGTAGGTCTTACTTCGACTTGACCAAAACCTAAGTTCATGTGTATTTTACCTTTGTAGAGCATGTTTCTAACATCCTATTGATCCTTTAAAATTGTAAACTGGCTGACATTTTCTTTTTTGATTTGTTAAAGTAAAACATTCAATTGGTTTTTGTATATTCTCTTGTTTAAGATTGAAACTTTAAGTGCACTTGGCTGAGTTTTATGCGCATATGATAGCGTCTTGCATGAATTATTATGCTAATGTAGGTCAGTCATTTAATTATACACGTCTACCGGGCATGAGGTTGGGGAGGAATTGAATGGTAGAAAGTGTTTGCGAGAGTCTAGACCTTCTGAAATGTGATAAAATTCTCTAACTAGTGAATGCCTGCAAATTTTGAGGAGGATATTTAGGGTAGAGGAATAATGAGCTGAGGTCAAGGCTGGTACAATTTAGCTTTTTTTTTCTCTCCACGAGAACATTATCCTTGAGTAGCGACGTGAAGGAGCTTAATACAAACATCTCAGAACCCAATTCCTTTAGGACTGACCCCAACGCTCAGTGATAAATGTCTTTTCTTAATCTGGTTACCAGCCATATGAAGCAATTTTTACATTCCTTTACCCGAGATGATGGTAACTACTTTGTTTATGGATAGAGTGCCATCCACTTTTTCTTGGCATAGAGGTAGTGCTCGAGCCATTTTCTTTAATCCATAAAAGCAATCATATCTGTCAAAACATCATGTTCATTTGGACGGGGGAAACTCAAATGCATGACAAAAGATACAAGAAAAGGACAGTGATGCTGCCAAGTTAGGGAGGTATAAACTATAAGAGCTAACAGTCAATACATTGGATCAATCATTACAATAAATATGCCAAAAGAGATAATCAACTCTGATTCATGTGAGTCAATTGTTTTTGCACAAGTGTAGACTACAACGGACTCTTTGTTTGATGATCCATTGAAGCTGGGGGTTCATGACACCTAGCTGTCTAGATGAAAACTGGAATGTGAAAGAGATTTCTAAACACGTAAAAGTGAAAGTTGGCAAGTTAATCAGGCTGACCAGCTATTGTTTATTTGTTTTTGGCTGTGGGTGACTGGGTGAGGATTCATCAGTGCGCTTGAAGTTGGGCGGTGGGTAGGTCATATGGGGTAGACTCATGTTTGTTAAGGTGAGGTAGAAGCAGGCAGTGGCTGCTGCTATCATAAGTGGCCAATGGGGTACAAGATAGTGGTTCTCAGTTTCTTATCATAGAAAGATAATGGTTCTCAGTTATCTACCGGCTTTTGTGACATTTTTCTTGATTTAATCTTGGGTTTCCTCAGTAATCTAGAGTGTAAATTATTTGACCAATGTGATAGCTTAGAACCATCATTAGAAAAAAAGTCTATTTTGTTCTCTTTGACCGAAGTGTTATGTTGGCATAATCAGGGTCATGTCACAGTTGACACAACTCTAGAGTAGACACATTTCATGCATCTTAACTCCATGGCAGGGTGACATGTTCGAGAAATTATTAGTACTGCTGAGATTCTTACTTTGTCCCAATAAAAAAGAGCTACATGAGAGATAATTTTCAGAGGAGAGGAAAAGGAGAGAAAGAGAGAGAATGTGAATATTCCCATTAATGAGATAACTTAGTGGTGAAAAGTAAAAGCTACCTTAGTACTTCTTATTTACAGCAAAAATTATCTTTTAATCAACAAATTAACTAACTATTAAGTAGCTTTCCTACTCTAATTCATTGGTGACATTATTTACATCGAAGCTTTTAGTTATTCCTTTTCTGTACGTTTCAACATCTTAACGCATGGTAATACAAGTGGACAGTGCAATATAAACAATCATTGTTACTGAAGAAAGAAATGCTGTGATTCTAGATTGTGACTATTGATAACACTGATTCACTGGCTGTGTATTGCTTTTATCGTTACAACCCATGGTCTTTATCTCATCATAGATACGATCAACTGTTCGAATGTTTAAAACCCAAACCATTCATTGAACCAGAAATTTGAGAAGAGCAAAAAATCATTGGTTTAATTATCAGGTTGATCACACAATCAAAATAATGCATAATAAACATCTCATACATTGCAACTGTAAGTTTTATCCTTCAAATACAAAGCAACTGAAGTTGTACGTATTTACATATCGGAGGAAGAATGATATCCACCATCTTATATAAAGAAGGTAGCCCATGTAACTTAGTCGGCGAAGGTTCCTATACACCGTAGTATTGAATATAGTATTCTTTCATTTTCTTCAGTCTTCCTTGGTTTATATTACATCCGGTTAGGCATTAAAACTTATATCCATCATAATTCTTTCCAGTGCCAACACATTTGTTCTTCACTTCTTCTTGTGACTTTGACAGCTTCACTACCCAGGTCTCTGTTTAGACAGCTATAGCCCATAGGAGTACCTTACCAAAATTAAAATGCAACAGATTCATCACTTTTAGATTTCCAGTTGAACTGGATGTACTTGATTAGTATCGTTGAATATAGTAGTTTTTCTAGCATAGAGTTTTCTAAGCATGACTAAACTGGAGACTTGGCTGTTTGACTTTTATACTAGTCCTATCCGGGTGTCAACATTCTGCTGATGGGAGGAGCTTTCGTAAAATATGGTAATCTTTACTTTGTAATTTACTTGGTTGTCTAAGAGGGATGAGAATCGAGCTCCGTAGCTTTCACTTCATCACATACCGACCCTTTTCATGTATGGCATGTTGTATATGTATTTTAGTTGATGTTAATTGGGATGCTGTCTTATGAGAACAGATTTATTGCTTGATTATTTTCTTGGATAGGTTGGCACTGACTAGGTTCTCTATCCTATTCGCAGGCTCCGCACATATGACATGGAAAGAGAAAAAGGAGTTGGAGAACAAGAAAATAGTTTCGCTTGGTGGGAAGGTGAGGCACAGCCTTTATGAAGAATAACATTGGCTATAGTAATATTCTCTGCAATTTTTGTTGATAAATGCTGTAATATTTTCTGCATCTGTTAATAATATTCCTGGTAATTGCGGCAGCCTCAGAAGAAACAGAGGTTACCACTTAGTGTTGCACGAGTAATGATGAAGAAACAGAAGGAAAGGGAGGAGAAAATACAAGAAGAGGTTGAAAACTCTGCTTTCTTCCAAGTTTGCTCACTCAAAGGTCCTTTAGCATAAGTTGCTAACTTATTTGTCTTACAGAATTTGATACTTGGACGATTTGGGGGAAACAATGGTAGCAGTTCAAGAAAAGCAGCGGGAAGGCGCAGACCTGAGGATAGGGTACTGAAGTCAACTGAAGGTCACTTCAGAAATGGGGTGCTTGATGTTAAGGACTTATTAAAACCTTCTGCACCGAAAGCACCGAAAGCATTCGATGCAGAGCAGTCTTTTGCTAGTAAAGGGAAGAAGAAAAAGGGTGGTAAAAAGAACAAGGGCAAGAAGAAAAAGGGTCCTGGTAAGAAGCGCCATTAAACATGGGATAAATGGCGAGACCTCCTTGTTTTCTTTGTATTTTTAAGCTTTAGATTCCAGTGTAGTAGATTATATCTCTAATATGTTAAAATTTTGTTGTAGTCTCCTGAATTTTCTGTGTTCTGATGATGAGTATAGTAATGCTTAATGGATGAACACTTTTTTGGTGGAAGAGAAAGTGAGCATTAACTGACATCCCTTGTATGTGTTTTATCGAGCAATACGATGTCAATTGGTCAATTCATCTTTGGAGTAAGCGTGATTTTGCTCTAAGTTAGTGTTTTCACTTTCTTCGTCTTTGGAGTAAGCGTGATTTTGCTCCAAGTTCAGCGTTTTCACTTTCTTTTGGTTGAATATTTGATTTGTTACTATTCTGCTTCTACTCTCTTGTGAGAGAATGCTGCTGTATTTAGAAACTGGCAAATTGGTAGAAATTATGTTACTGCAGACACAACTAGTTGAAGATACTCAAAATAACGGTGAAATTTGGCGGTAATGTAGTCTTAGAGTAACAGATGAGGTGTGTGCTGTTTTTCAAACTTTTGAGTTCATTACTTTTTGACAAGTACATTTTTCAACAGTGAACAATATACATGTCTTATTAGATTCTGATTACTGCAGCGCCAATAGTTGACTCCAACCAAAAAAGTGCTTATGAAAAGAGTATTTTTTGCTATCCAGAAACTTACTCTAGAAGGCTATGAATTTTCTAAATATTCACGGCAATTGGAAGTGAGTTGGATATATCTTTTGTTGTTGTAATTTTCAAACTTCACATTGTTCAATCATTTGGAGAAGAAGTGGATTATATTCACATACACTCTTCAATTGGTCATTAGGTCAGTGTATGTTTAGTCTTTAAAAAAAGGAGTTGCAATAAGCTCCGGTTGTGCTTCTCTCATTTACAACTTGTTTGGACGGTTGTTATGTGTCGTTTCAAAGTGTATCAAATAGTATTGTATTGTATTATACTTTATCACTTTGATGTATATAATGTCTGGATAAATTGTATTGTTTGCCGTCGTTTCATGATATCATGTACCAACAACATGAAAAACAAACTCGCAATATTTGTAAAGAAAAAGTAAGGTACGTGATGATATTATTATATAAAAAGGTATGGTAAATGATAAAATAAGATTATGTAATAATAAAAAAGGGCAAGATAAGAGAAAAAAATAAGATAATGACGCGATAACACCAAATCGGTCATTCCATAAAGTGATACTTTTCGTCGTTACATAACGGAGTTAACGACATCAATAATATTTAATTACAATCAAAACAAACATTGTATTTGAAGTAACAATACGATATAATACAACATTCAACATGTAACAACCATCCAAACAAAGCTGTTAGTACTTGTCTTCTAGAATTAAAATTTTCAGTTTAAAAAGAAAAGTTTCCAAGGATATTGTTGAATAAATTGGTGCATAAGCTACCAAGCAAAAATGTCCAAATTTACCGATATATTTTTTACTATGGTTTAAAATTGTCTTTCATTATATTTTTGGTTGAAAATTTTGTTAGGAGTCAAGATTAAAACAAATTTTTTGCTAAAATTAGATCCAAAGTATGACCAAATTTGTTCAATTTTAAATAGTACAAAAGTAAATTTGACCATCTCTTAATTAAAAAAAAAAGTGGTTTACAAATTGTGTGTAATGTTACAAGTTGGAATACCGCTGCAGCAGCACCAATGGCAAGGTTAATCCGAAACATTTTCTTTCACTCTTCCACCATTCCGCCACCGGTATCGCCGCCGCTCAAATTCCACCACCTCCGCCGTATCCACGCCGGCAACAGCTTATCCGCTTCTGCTTCAGTTCACAGTAAACCTCGGAAAAACAAAGTAAAAAAGGTGGAAAAGACCAGTAATAGTAGCGTAATTAACAACAACAAGCTTTCACAAGTGAAGCGGAGGACTCGGTCGGAGAAAGAGCTAGATGAGGAGACCTTCCTGAAGCACTATGGAAATGACAACTCTGCCCCCCATGTCCCTGTCTTGCTCGGCGAAGTTTTGGATGTTTTCGCCTCCGTTACTCTCCGTTCCTTCCTTGATTGTACTCTCGGTGCCGCCGGCCATTCCTCTGCTGTTAGTACTTTCCTGCTTCTACACTTGTACTTCATTCTATATTTTTTGTCCTTTTTGAAACGAGATAATTTCTTATTTGCAATCTTTTTAATTTCTAGATATTTAGCTTGTATGGTAAATAAGTAAAATTAAGTCATATCATGTTAAATATACCTCGTTACGTTCGTGTTGTTTCATGGAACATAACTTTGAAATGACTTTGTTGTTTCAATGTAAATGTACTTTGTGTTTGTGTTAACTATATAATTTGGACAATGTAACAAGCAGGTACAATTTGGTTACTTGCCTGATTTATTTTGAGGTAGTGATTCTATTATGTCAAATTTCATGTATATACAGATAATTCAGGCTCATTCCGAAATGCAAGTATATGTTGGGCTTGATGTCGATCCCATTGCATATCAAATTGCTCAATCTCAGCTGAAGGGTATCCTACATAAGGACTCTTGTGACACGGCTTCTGCCTTGAGAGTGCATACCTTTTTGAAAAATTTTAAGGACGTCAAGTCCGTGCTTAGTGAAGTTGCAGACGACCAGCTAGCTTGTGGTGTTGATGGGATCATGATGGACTTGGGTATGTCATCTATGCAGGTCTGCTCTCGAATTACATCTTAGAGACCATTGCAAAACTTAAACCTTTTTTTGCCTGATAAATGTTGTTTTTCCGAGCTCTGTTTCCTAGCTTTCTGCTTCCTGTGCCTCAACGTGTCAATCTTCTTCTTTGTGTATGAATTGGCTGTAAATGAGAAAAAAAGACTTAATTAACATTAAGTTCTCAGAACCCTAAGAGTTACCATTCCTGGCTAAAGTTGTTTTTGCATTTGATTTGAACTTGTTGAAGAGACAATTAAATAAATAGAAGTCCATTCTCTCTAACTGCTTAGCTTTTAGATGAGATTGTTACACACTTCAACATGGTAGCAGAGCAGGCAGAGGTCCTCGGTTCAAGTCTCACCGCCACCATTATAAAAATCAAATTTTCATGTGCATGGCCAACGGAAAAAATGAAGCTCGCATGTGAGAGGGGCGTGTCGAAGAGACAATTAAATAAATAAAAGTGTGTTTTCTCTAATTTAGACCAGATGATTACACACTTCAACAGAACTGATTATTCATGTCATGGTTGGTTCAGTGAATGAGATTTCTTCTAGTTAACCATCTGACGAGCTCAATGTGTATATGATATTTCTGCTCGTGCTTTGTCAATTCTAGTATAGTTTATGATATCGTCCCACAGAGATTGGTTAATCTATGCTACAGACTTGTAATATTTTACTACTAATTGAGAGAATCAAATTGGTGAAAAGTTGGTTTTAAAATTATAAATTGCTGGAACTAAAACAAATAACTTTAGGAAGATTTATATTTAAGAATAGTTGAGAATCATTGAATTCACCTGGTAATATTATCATAATAAAATCTCAATTTTTATATATATTTCTCTAAAGAATAATTGCTTGTTGCTAATACAATTATATTTGCTCATTAAGAAATAACCAATTAATAACACTACGTGAGGTTATGTAAATTAATTGAATCAAAACTAGTGACGATTAAAACGAAATATTTTTCTTGCTTGAATTGTGCTATAAGGTAGTGCCCGAACCATCTGAGCCTCGCTTCCCTCATCTTGTCATCAATGGGAGCCATGCGCACATTCTCTCGAATTTCATCATTCTTAATCTTATCCATCCTAGTATGCCCGTACATCCACCTCAACATCTTCATTTCTGCTACTTTTATCTTGTGGATATATGAGTTCTTAACAGGCCAACACTCAGTACCATACATCATGGCCGGTCTTACACCGCTCTAAAAAACTTATCTTTGATATCGGTGGCACTCTCTTGTCACACAGGACTCCAGATGCTAACCTCCACTTCATCTGTCCACCCCAATACGGTGTGTGACATCCTCGTCGATCTTGACACCCCCTGGATAACCGACCCAAGGTACTTGAAACCGCCTCTACTTGGGATGACCTGTGATTCAAGCCTCACATCCACGCCCGCTTCCCTTGGCTCGGCGCTGAACTTGCACTCTAGGTATTCCGTCTTAGTCCTGCTCAGCTTGAAACCGTTAGACTCGAGGGCTTGTCTCCAAACGTCCAGCCTCTCGTTAACAACGACTCGCGTCTCATCAATCAGAACAATGTCGTCGGCGAATAACATACACCATGGCACCTCCCCTTGGATATGGTGTGTTAGTGCGTCCAGCACAGGGCGAATAAGAACGGGCTGAGCACAGAACCTTGGTGTAACCCCATAACAACCGGAAAATGCTCTGAGTCGCCTCCTGCTGTCCTAACCTGAGTCTTAGCTCACATACATGTCTTTAATCGCCCTAATGTAGGCAACTGGCACACCTTTTACCTCCAAGCATCTCCAGAGAACCTCTCTAGGAACCTTGTCATACGCTTTCTCCAGATCATTAAACACTATGTGCAGATCCTTCTTCCTCTCCCTGTACTGTTCCACCAACCTCCTAATAAGGTGGATACCTTCCGTAGTGGAACGACCCGGCATGAACCAGAACTGGTTGTCGGATATAGACACCATCCTCTTAACCCTCACATCGACCACCATCTTTCAAACTTTCATGGTATGACTCAGTAATTTGATACCCCTATATCTGTTACAACTCTGGATATCACCTTTGTTCTTATACAACGGAACCACCGTACTCCACTTCCACTCATCCGGCATCCTTTTCGTCCTAAAAATAACATTAAACAGCCCAGTCAGCCACTCCAAGCCTGCTCTTCCAACACACCGCCAAAAATTCAATCGGAATCTCGTCTGGCCGGGTCGCTCTGTCGCTACTCATCTTAGGCATAGCTCCCACGACCTCCTCAACCTTGATAGGCCTACAGTACCCAAAGTCGCGGTGACTCTCGGAATGCTCCAATTCACCTAGCACAATATCCCGATCCCCTTCTTCATTTAGAAGTTTATGAAAGTAAATCTGCCATCTCCTCTTAATCTGGGCCTCTCCCATCAATACTCTACCGTCCTCGTCTTTGATGCACCTCACTTTGGTCTGAGCTTATTTTTGGGACTTTTTTCAAGTGATTGGTGGTGTTTTAAGGAAGCATAGAAATGAAAAAAGTAAGAGACAAGAGAAAAATGAGTGGCTAGAGATTGAATTGGATATTGGAAGATTCCCATGGAGTTAATTATATTTAAGGAAGTATAAAAATGCTTATTGCTAATACAATTATATTTTTCTCACTAAGAAATAACCAATTAATAACACTCCGTGAGGTTATGTAAACTAATTGAATCTAAACTAGTGACGATTAAACGAAATATTTTTATTGCTTGAATTGTGCTAAAAGTAGTAAAAATTTTGTGAGAATATTTTTACTATAAATCAATAATCTTGCCTACAACAATTCCTCCTTGAGAATTAAAACTGAGGCAAGCAAGATTACGACCCCTAAAAAATAGTTTGCTAAAAATTACTTTCCCTCTGTTATTTATTCATTAGTTATTATATATTAATTGTGCTCTATGAGAACTATAAAATTAATATAAGAATAACTTTGAGATAAAATATGTAGACATGATAATAGATTAATTAAGAACTATCATTCCTACACAGTATGAAATGTACATAGAAAGTTTCAAGCCGAGAATGTAATAAAACTGAGATAGTATTATAAAATATATCAAACTTCATCAACTATCCCAACAGAAAGAAATTACTCCATTATGGAGTATGAAAAGTTAAATTGGATTTTAAAAGACTAGAAATATTTAAAAGATTAAGGAAATAATTTTTACTACAAGAAAAACACAAAGTAGAGACCAAGACTAGTTCTTGTGTCTTGCAAAAGATTGGATATATGTTTTACATTGCGAGCTTGCTATTTATAGGAAAAGATGGCGCTTTGTTACTTCCTACTTAGGCCAAAGTAAGGTTATTTGGCATCGGTGAGATTACTTTGGTGAAAGTAGCTTCTTTCTTTCATTTCCCACATCTCATATTGGCAACTTGACGTCTTCTCTACTCTATGGATGAACATATTTTGACCAATATGGGATATTGGCAAAAGTGACTATCTTTCTCTCCATTTGACTTCTAGCTTTATCTTCCTTTTTCTTTTTCATATATTCTTCCTGCAAGATTTGTCAAAACAAGACGAGAATAAAATATAATTTATTCATGTTTTATTTCAAAATCTTATTTTTTTAATATGAAATTACATGTATAATCTATATCCATCACCATCTGTTGGAGTAATATTTGGAGACTATCAGGATTCTGATTTCTGATTATATTATCATATCTTGAATTTATTCCATATTTTATTCAGGTAAATGATGCTGAAAGAGGGTTTAGCGTGCTGAAGAATGGACCTCTTGACATGAGAATGAATCCAAAGGTAATTTATTTCCAGATTCTATGTGAAATTTGACACTCTTCTTATTTCTCTAGCTCTGATGCTAGTTTATGCTCAGTTCGCTAGCATTAGTGTTAGTATGATATCTTTTATTCATAGATGACTATTTACTACCTAGAGTTTGACTGCATTCTTGGCGATCTTGCTGTTATTCCTACTTGTTGCAATTACCTTTTCTTTTTCGGTCTTTCTCTAGCCGAGGGTCTATCAGAAACAACCTCTATCCCTTCCAGGGGTAGGGTAAGGCTGCGTACATCTTACCCTCCCCAGACCCCACTTGTGAGAAACTACTGGGCTTGTTGTTGTTGTTGTTGCTGTTGTTGATGTTGTTGTTGATACTAGTTTATGCTGCATTGCATATTCGTTCATGCTTCAAAAAAATTATATATTTACTCTTTTCATGCTTCAAAAAAATTATATATTTACTCTTTGGAGAACTATGTTGATTTTGTGATTATATTCCTCTGGTTTAGTGGATGGTTAAATTCTACGGGATTCATGTTTGCTCTTTGGTAAACTATGCTGAATTTGAGATTGTATTCCTCTGGTTTAATGGGTGAAAATTTGTACAACAGACATACACAAAACATCATCTACGGTAGTATTTGTCGTTCTTCCTTGTAATTGTAACTGTTAAGTATATCTGCTTGTAGTTGGTATAATAATTTGGTGTGGTTTTCTTTGGGGAACTTGTTGGGATAATCAGTCATCGCGATCACATCCTATTTGAGTCTTCATTGTTGACATCACTATTTGTTTGACGTCAAGATGTCTACTTCAGTAGACATTTCTCCCTCCTATACTCTCTATACAGAGTTCATAGATGTGGAAAAGATGGTTCATGGATTTTTCCTTGATTAACTGACACAGGACTGTGACAGGCAACTCTGAAAGCTGAAGACATATTGAATTCTTGGCCAGCTGATGAATTAGGACGAGTTCTACGAGAATATGGAGAAGAAAGCAATTGGTACTCTCTTCAAAACAGAATTGTTAAGGCTCGTGTACATGGAGGGTTACATTCTACCAGTGAGCTGGTAGACCTTATTCAGAATTCGACTTCTAGGACTAAAGGTGATTATCTCTTCCAGGTGTCCTTGTCTCTATTCATAACTTAACTTTGTCTGTGGAATTTTATGAATTTCTTAACCATTACAAACGAGGTTTGGTGTGCTAGGCACTTTTTCATACTTAATAATCTCTGCACATGCTTGTCTATGGAAATGTGATTATACTTTGGTTCCTTGCTTAAGCAGGAAGGCAAGGTTGGATTAAGACAGCAACTAGAGTTTTTCAGGCTTTACGAATAGCTGTTAATGATGAACTCAAGACACTGGATGATTCCATCCATGCTTGTTTTGAGTCTCTCAGTTCTGGTGGAAGGCTTGCCGTAATTTCATTCCACAGTTTGGAGGACAGAATAGTAAAACAGGCATTTCTCAATATTATGAACAGCAGTGAAGTTGCTGGAGGTGGAGTTGAAGATGAAGAAGGGAAGTGCTTGCGTGAGTTGAGGAAAATTAATCTTGATACTGTTAAAGAAGAAGCATGGATAAAACAGGTGATACAAGGACAGAATGGAACTATCCTTACAAAGAGACCCATAACACCATCTGAAAAGGAGGAGGCATTAAATCCTCGCAGTCGGAGTGCTAAACTAAGAGTGATCCAAAAAGCCTGAAGAAAGGTGGATGTCATAGACGTGCGCGTAGCGGACCTTGAGGAGATTTTCTGCTCTCGAAGATGAGGAGCTCTACCAATTGTTTCAACATCTAAAGTTAAGTAACCACAGCTTATTCTTGATTGGACTTATTCATCAGGCATAATTGTCCTCTCAAGGAAGTCCCCATCTCTTCTGGGGACTTATCATACAATTTAATGATTCAACAATTGGCTATCACATTCGAATCAGCTTATCATCACATTTTTCCATCATTGTGTATCAAGAAACCGTTGCCAACTGTCAGCTAAGACCGGAAATAAAGCGTGAAGGTTCGCTTGATGTCCTACATCCACAACAATCTCTCCATAGGCTACTGCTGATGCCCAAACTGCATATTTATTGTATAGGGGACTTATGACTGAGGAAAGGTATTTTTTCTACCTAATGTAACACGTCGAGGGATTTGACTATCATTTCAAGTTCTTAAAATATAACTCCTAGTAGCTTAATTTATCCCAAGGGTTTGAGTATTTGAAATCCATGTTGTTGATATGCAATTTCATAGCATGAGGATCTTGATCTATGCTTTACTTGAAGCAAGTGCCTCAGTGCAAGCTTTGTATATTCATAGCATGAGGCTCTTGATATATTCTCACTTTAATTGGTGATTCTTAAAGTTACTTTGTTTGGTTTGATGCAAACAACTAGTGTGGATTGGGCACATTTCACACTCCAAAAGATACCTCCACTGTCGTTAGTTCACTTCATTAATGATGTTAAACAGCAAAAGCATGTCATGTTTATTAGACAATAATTTTACGGTTACTTTTTATATTTCCCAGAATTTATTTATCTTTCTCCTTTCAATTTACTTTAATTTTTTTTTTTACCAATTTCAGAAATAATGCAAATCTACATTTCGCTTTTAAACGTTAACTTTTCATAATTATAGAATAGCTAATACTAGAGGTCGTTTGGTAATGATGGATGAATAAATATAATCTTTGGATAAAAATCTAGCACCGCACTTATCCTTTGTTTGGTTACATAGCTCCCAAGATTAAAAAGTAAAATGGTAATCCCGTGATAAGTTATTCCAGAATAAAACATGAAAATTGACAATCTCAAGATTAATGCAATATAATCTCAGGATAATGAAATAATTCCAACATAATTAATTCCAATATAATTAATCAAAGCATAACTAATCTCAACATAACTTGTTTTCAAACCAAACGGCCCCTAATTATACTAGTAACCAAGGTGTTCTTTTCTTTTTAAAAAAAAAAAAAATCTTAAAGTAGCAATATATTGATATATAGACTACTTTTTTTTTTATCATAAAGTAGCCAAGGTATTCATTTGAAGAAACTTGTAAAATAGACAATTTCGATGTGGGGGAAATGTTTTCTTTTTCCAATATTTGGATACATCTGCTTCCAAATTTCAATACTAAAAAATTTCTTTCCTCGTATGATGGTAAAAAATTCAATGTTAATAAATATTGTTAAAATGTTCACGAAATAACAAAAATTCCCACTTTTCTGTAAAATTTATATTGCTGTTGTAAACATAATAATAATGTCTATAAATAAAACTACCGTGTCTATTTTTTCGGTAGCGTTTAAACTAGTAGTTTATTTATACTTTTAGAATTCTTGGTTTTTCCCGAGTTGAGACAGAGTCTAAATAGGATTCTTTTTAAGGAAAAAAAAGAAGAAGACAATAACGTTATTAATTACGTAAAGAGCAAGTATATAAAAAAGAGAAGACAACCAACATAAGAACTAGTTCTTCTCCGTTCCTTCTTCTTTCAGGTTTCGGCTCAGGTATCTAATTTGTTCAGGTTTAGAATTCCCCATACCCCAAAAGGGGGGGGGGGGGTTTCGGGTTCATACC